ATTTGCTCAATAAGGAACACTTAAGGGATTTTCCTATCGTTCCAGTCCATCTGAATCTGAATTCTTTGCTGTTAACATCGCACTGTTTTCCAATGTAATAAGCAATTAAAAATTCCTCAAGCTAATTGTAAAGGCAATTACATTAATTTGTACGTATTTGACTACCTAACTATAAATGTTCTTTTTGCACGGCTAATTATATGTTTTTAATTATACACTTTTATTTCTTCCAGCTCTAGGGCTGCTGTACCCAGCATCTTGGTAATTTCTACTCCCTTTGGTGTGTCCTGTGACGGTCCGTCCCGACCGGGATGGCTACCTACAAACAGGAGATGCCACCTCCTGGAGGATACAACCCTGTTAACTTCGTTGTCAAAAAGACCAGAAAACCAATGAACGGCAAGTGTAATTATATAACGTAAACCTTTGAACTTCACCGATTATTATGCACCTGACTGGTTATATGGGGTGCTCTCCATGAACCGTTTGTTGGCAGTACCCATCATGAGTTTTATGATAATTTGCTATGGTAACCTATTCTCCCTGTCGACCCAGGTGTATCGCCGGCGCGTAGCCTAAAGGTAACGTGCGTGTCTCGTAAACTGACGGTGTGGGTTCGATCCACCCGGTATCCTTAGCCCACGTGCGACCGGTGGTAGTAGCACGACAGCGAAACGTCGGTACTGCGTACCGGCGTACTGCTGATGCCTTTGTCTTTATTTACCCTGTCAGCACCATCGGAAGCTCAACTGACCAAATATCAGGCTGAACTCGGGCAGCCACATTTTGTTATTCGTAATTGTACGGCACTATTATGTCACTATTGTTGTATGCGTCCGATCGTTGGTTCCAAGGGCTTCAGATTCGGGGGCCTACGTGGGTCGTGTTAACTTGAGGGGGCTGAAAGGCAAAGGAGATACTTCGTTAGCGGTTGCAAAACCACCTAGTAAGTGTGCCAGCTGGATGAACGATGTGATTGTGTCATCTCGTGGCTAGCTGGGCGGTACTGTCACATCTGCCGATAGAGAACTGAGCGCGAGACGACAAGATAGAGGGCGTGGAAATGCGCGATAGATAGCTGCTCCAGCAACATACATTGAATTATAGAAAGCAGATGGGAGAACGCTTGTCAGCTTCATCACATCCTAAATGGATTCAGGAAGGTGCGTGTTAACGAGGAATGGTGTTTCCATTGGGAAGCAATTACACGAATAACCACGGTTTTGATCCACCAAGTAGGTAGAAATCCAAAAGCCACTTGAAACTCCTCACTGGGAGCACTGACCGCAGCTTCTGATAACTTGTTCCATTGGTTCACCGCCCGAGTAGATAAGGTGACCTCTAGACGAACTCGATGCCTCCTCGGTTTGAAGAGTTTAAAACTGTGTCCACGAGTTGGGATAAATTTGTTGATCTGGAAGTACTGTTGCAGATCGCTACCCAACTTACCTCAGAATGCGTCTTACGTAGATCAGGTCTCCACGATGGCGGCAACAATCTAGGGAGAAGTGATTCATATGTAAGAGGCGATCGTACTCAGACAACTTCCGAAAAGCTGGGGACGATTTACAACCTCGCCTCTGAACTTTCTCCAACAGGTTGCACTCGAACTTGGTGAGGGGTTAACTCACTGATAAGCCGTACTCAAGGGTGGAACGCACATGTTAAACGGACAGGAGTTTGATCTCAGGAGTCATCTGAGAGCATGATCTTCTTGTAGCCCAAACAATCCTGTTAGCTGCAGCGACTTTCTTTGACGAATCCTGGGTTGTTCTTAGTTTGGAGGATACAATGACGCCGAGATCCTTTGCTCGATTGACACTTGTTAGCAGGGAGCCACCGATGTGATAGGTGCCAAGTGGATCAGGAAAGACATTCGAGAAGATCAAGCACTTCTCGCGGTTTATAGGTAACCCCCAGACAACGGACCAGTCATGCAACATGTTAAGTGACAGCTGCAATCTATCAGCATCATCAAAGCTTTCGAACCCCATCCACAGTTTTAAATCATCGGTATCAATTACTCAGCTTGAAACACGGTTGGAAAATCATTAATGAAGTTCTAGTATAATTCTGGGCCGAGGACTGAACCTTGAGCCACTCCACTGATCATCGGAACGGGTGCAGAGATGGCCTCGTTTAAATTCACTCGCATTTTATGGAATGCGCGATCCAAAAAAGTATATTTCCAAGGACGCTGATTCTCAAAGGTTTGATAAGGAAACGTTCATGGGGGACTTTGCTAAACGTCTTGCTGAAGTCGACGAAAACAACATCCAGACGTTTGCCAGCATCCAGTGCTTTTGCCCATTTTTCCCGAGCAACGAGTAGGTTAGAGATGCAAGAGCGTGCTTTTCTGAACCCATGTTGAGCGGGCGAGATTACGTTAAGAACTTCCATGTGACGTTGAAGAAAGTGTTTCAGGATCCTCTCCATGACCTTACAGATGACTGAGGTCAGGCAAATCGGCCTATAATTAACAGGGTCTTGCCGATCCCCATCTTTGTATATAGGCTTCACTACACCTTTCTAACCAGGAGGCAGTCGACCAGCTACCAGAGAGAGTCGGAGTACTTGACACAGAGGAGCAACGATGTACTCCGAAATGGAAAGGTAAAGAGAGAAAGAAACGACGCTCACAATATAAGCTACGCTCGACGACAACTTACCTGTAGAATTGCTGCTGTGACACTGACAGGTTACAACTATTCTACCTACCTATCTGCTATTGCATTACTGCCGTTACGTCTTCCCTCAGCACTATTGATATGCGTTTGTCAAATCGAACGGCATTTGTGTTACCATGCTTCTTCTACTTATCAGCCTACGATTTATTCATATCAACTTAGGCGCTCGGTGGTGTGGGAGTGACTGTATGCACGTGTGCAACACGTCATATATCGTTGTTTTCATATGCACTGGTTTTCCTGTATTTCACCGCGAAATTTCTGTCTGATTTGAGTCCGAAAGGTGCCTTGTCGAACATCACTCAGACCCCTCGGACGATCCTTCCAACAAAGTCACGTGCAACTCAGTCCCCTTCACGGTCCGTTTTCGTTCGCTTGCTTTACGTCAGACCTGTGTTAATCAAACACCTGAAAGCTGCATCAATATTATCAATGCGTAAATCAGGAATGTTGCATCACTGAAACTCCACTGGTTTGCTTCGTCATAACCATGCAGTATTATGCATTGTCCTCGCTCTCCTGGCTACATCGGTGCACTGTCCACCGTCAAAGGCCGGCAGTGAATACTACTAATTGGGCAACGATCAAATGGCGAAACCCGCTGCTCGTATGTGCAGTGGTGGTTTCAAAATTATACGTCTTTCATTTAATTGCGCCTGTAGCTTCTGGTGTGCAGACCCCCATGTACTTTACTTGTGCTGGCGCGATCTGTGGTAGGAACGGCTTAGGTCAATACAAGACATGACGGCAGTGGAGACTAAGGAATAGAACAGAGGTCTGTCTGACTAGGTTTTAGTTTGACCATTCGTTCATTGAAGGGTAATAACCAGAAGGGAAAATCCCGTGTCTGCTCGTTCGCTTCCGTTCAAAGCAGGTATTGCGCGGATCATCGCGATACCTCGTTCATAGGGGATCGTCACGATCGCAGCAAAAATAACACGTTCCTTGCTTATTAAGCAGCCAGTAATCCTACGGTCGTTTGAAACTTTCCTATGTGCGTTGACGACTGGCTCTGGTAATATGTTCCAATTCATCACCACACGAGTGGACCAAATAACATCGAGATGGACTCCTAGCCTCTTCCGTTTAAACAGTTTCCAGGAGGGACCCCGTGTCGAACTATCAACTCTGAGTTGAAAGAACTTCGTCTCCCATCATCCCTCGCAGTATGCGTCTGGTGTAAATCAGATCACATCGATGGCGACGACAATTCAAGGAAAATACGTTCATCGTTCGAAATCGCTGGTCGTAGGACAAATTACGGAACGCAGAAATCGATTTCGACCCTCGTTGTTGGACACTCTCTATGAGAACATGTTCGGTCTTTGTAGGAGGAAAGACCGCGGGTGAGCTGTATTCGAGGACAGAGCGCACATGAGAAATAAAGAGAAGTCTGAAGACATTCGGAGTCATACGGGTGAAAGATCTGCTTATGGCACAGAACATCTTGTTAGTTGCTTCTACCCCTCCTCACAGATTATCAAGTCTCGCCTTATCAACGGCATACAATAAGGCCGATAAGCGAAAACATACTACTGCTGGTGCCTCCCTTCTTTTCCACCTGTTTCTCTTACTCCCATCCCGATCCCCATTACTAACCTATAATTCCCAGCTTAATTGACAGCAACCGAAGTGCCACTGGAGTAGAACCATCCGCAGCCACCGCGGTACCCATCGGACGCCTATCGGCAGCAGCCAGGCAGTCCGGTTTCCCTGGCGGCGTTGAGCGTTCGCACTCTAAGACAAATAGGTCAACAGGCTGCACTCGCACGCACTTAGATACACTGGGTATTGTGTTGTGTGTCCGAAACTAAGATCAATGATTCTAATGTTATTGTTGGGTTAACTGCACCCGGCTTATCCTCTCGTTATTGGTTGCACGCATCCGGAGATGCTGATGCAGCACTCACGGGTCAAGCTGGTGTAGGTATCATTCTAAAACTGAGCCATCGTTGGTTGATTGGATTCCAGTGAACAGCCGTTTATGTGCAGTCCGTTTGACGACATCAGCCAAGGTTGATTCACGAAGTAGTACAAAACGCTGTTCTAATGCGGTCAAGAACACATTGTCACCAACTGAACGCGCTACTACGCAGTGCTACTAGTTCAGATATAGTATTTGCAGATGTGAACTCACAAGTGGGGCGTCTGAGTTCTTCAGAAGCTCAGCTGGGTGGTATTTATGGGCTTAACTCCGAACGGACTGACAACGGCGAGCGCCTGCTGCAACTGTGTGCGCAGCACCAGTTGTTTATTAGGGGCACTGCTTTTAGACAGTGGCCGCCGTAGTGCCACTTGGGGTCTTCCTATAGCTGGCCCGCGATGGACTCAAATTGACCATATTGTCATAAGTTACAGGTGACGTGGTTCCATCCTGGATTTCCGCTCGTACTGGAATACCTACGTCGACTCTGATCCTGCCTCGGTACGCGATTGTTTCTCCATGAACTTTACCAGGAGACGCACCAAGCTTGATGGCCGTTCTGCTCTGTGGTAGTGAAACATGGCCCTTTCGGTCTGAAGATCTGAGGCACCTTCAAGTCTGATCATCATTGTCTGCGAAGCACTGCTGGTGTCATCCGACACCAGCAGTTGGCTGTTGCATATGCCTGGTCACCGCTTATCTAGGAGGGCCTTGTTTAGTTTGCCAGGTGTACGGTGGAGCAAAGCTCGAGGTGGACAGAAGTTGACTTGGCAGTGGGAAATGAAGTC